GTTCTCAACACAGGATCCGGTGACTTTTAGACAAGTCAATTTGCCTCACTGAACTGGTTTATGCAGCAATATAGGAAGTGTAGTAATGTTCTTTGGGAATTCTACTGTAAAAGTAAAGTAGCACTGTGCAGCCTTTCTACAGTTTAGAATCATTTGGTTTCTTCCATGGTAACTAGTAATTATAGTAAGTCGCAGCCAGCCTAGCTGTAGACATTACATAAGTGTTACTGCACTTGTGTATGTTCTTTGTGTTTTCAGTTATTTGTCCACTTATTTTCATATGAATATATTGAAGTCAGCTTCTCATCTTCTGTAAATGAGTTTTTCATATGATGGGATTTTCATATGAAGATAATGAAGTCATCTTCCCATCTTTCTATAAATGAGGGTTTCATACATATAGTTGGCTCTCCATATCCAGATTCTGCATTCATGAATTCTACCATCCACAGTTTGAAGATATTTTAAAAAATAAATTCCAAAAAGCAAACCTTGATTTTGCCATTTTATATAAGGGACACTATTTTAACTATACCACTGTATATAATGGGACTTGAGCATCCATAGATTTTGGTATCCACAGGGGGTCCCAGAACAAAACCCCAACAGATATCAAGAGCCCACTGTATTACAAAATGCCCTAGAGTTATTGCACTGCCCAGTCTTTATCTCAACACTATAATCATCCTCAGCAGTAGATTTTGGTTGAGATACTGTATTGTGGTGCAAAGGATAAATCACCATATGTGCAGTAGTGTCCTGGCTGTGTTACACAAACTTTGTGTTGAATGGCAATTCTGTGCAACTGAAATTCCCCACACACCTCAAAAGTTACATCTGCATGCACATGGCAGCACTTGCACAACTATGTTTCTTCATTTGAAATGAATATAGATGTTCGGCATGCTACACCACCTGGAATTGTTCAACTAATGGGAGACACCAGCCACAGATGAAGTGAAGGAACTAGTAAAAGAACAATCCCAGAACATACAATGCCAAACCACCTTGGGTAGAGCTACAATGGGAAGAAATGGAAAGAGAAGCATCTGGTAAGAGCTGATCTGGCCAAGCTGAAATGCTAGTACTCAATGATCTATTCCTTCATTGTCTGTATCTTAGTCACTACTGACATGGTCCTCCAAAGAAAGGACATGCTTATACATACCATAGCTTCTGGCTCAGTCTGACAAGAAGAGTTCAGCTCTTAGGCTTCATGTTTCCCTTCCCTTAGACATATCAAGGTCCTGTTTTTCTTGTTTGCCACAATACACTTAGTTGTTTAGGTTACAGGTCAGTTGTTCATTCTCTTCTGTGTTGGAAGGTGTCAAAGGGGAACCTGTACAGCCCTCATAGTGGAAGGGTAAGTTGCCCCACATTAGTATTTGTGAATGTATCAGACTCCTGTGCATTAACTAAACAGTTTAACATGAGCATTGTTGAATATATGAGCATCCTCATATGCACAGATATGAGAGTTAGAACATTGTGAGTTCATTTGTTTCAGATAGTAGGTTTGAATACCATTTTTAAAACTTGAAACAGAACACCTTGTAGGGTTCAAAATACTAGACATTGGCCCAGTACAATACAAATGATTGAGATTCACATTCAAACAAGCATAGAACACACACGCACACATACTAAACAACATCAACAATCATTCATCCAGGGCCTTCTCATAGTGTGCTACTGCAGAACTGAAAATATATTTTATGAAGCATTCATTATTTAGCATTTTCTGTGCACAGATACCAAACTTCCATTATCTTAACAATAGTGATGCTGCTTATTGATATTTTTTTGTTTATTTCTTACTTAATTGAGGCTCTCCAGGCTCAGCTATGTTTAAGCAAAACTGGTTACCATGGTGATGCTGGAGAATTTTAAAAGTGTCACCTTGTGTACAAAATGGCATTTTCCGATCAATTTTTTGGTTGATTCTTCAGATTGAACTACACAAGTAAGCATCTGTGGCCCTCTAGATAGTTTTGGACTACACTATCCATAATTCCTCACCATTGGGTATGTTGGCTAGGGCTGAAGGGATCTATAGAGGGAAACATATGGAGGCCCACAGCTGCCCACCCCTTCACTATATTGACCACATTCAAGACATTGAATTAGTAGCTATGATATTTAGCATTTGTATAATACTTTAAGAATATTCAAAGCCCTCTAGAAAAACAAACTCCCTCTACTCCTGGTTGCAGATTCTGTAAGATACAGGAGTATTGCCTTCCCACATTACTGTAAGGAAGCCTGGAGTTCAGAAGAGTTGCCTATCTAAGAACATCACTATGGTCTCTATCACAATGCACATTTACAGTACTTGGAAATCACCTTAAACTGCCATTGCAGAATCCTAAGATTTGTAGTTTTATGAGGCAATAAAGGTCTCTGGAAAAGAATTCCCAATTACCCCACAAAATTATGGAGCCCAGGTGTCTATAAGATGCAACAATGGCAGATAAAGTAGTATCAAATGTTACAACTGTGTAGTATGATAGAAACCTGTGCTTATATCATAAAGTGGCTGATCTGTTGCTCACGCTTAAAGCCCAACTTTTAGTCCCAACCAGGATAGGCCCAAAGAAACAAATGGGCCATGTTATGGAGGAGAATGGAGATTTCTGTAGGTCTTTTCTAGAGGGTAACTAAAATGGGTGTTTTGAGTGGCTTATGATTGACAAAAACACAAAGTAAATTGTTGGAGACAGAACTTATGTGGATCAAGGTGGTGGCAAGGCACAGCAGCTGGAGCAGAACCAGAAAAGTTTCTGGTACTATTTAGGAATGAAGCCAGAGCTTAGTATGGCAAAATAAAGGTACAATAAAAACTTGAGGGTATAATAGGCAGAACATAGTGGAACCTGGCATTCAGCCACTTTTCAGCACTTTTGCATAGCAGAACACACTTTTTTTCCAGATTAGACCAATATAGGTTCTAAATGGTATGCAATGCAACATTGCCTATCTTTTTATTGCCAAATCTATACTTATCTATACTTAACTAATTCTGTTGCAACCCTCTACCATCCCATGGGCTCAGGTCAGATTACAAGAGTTTAAAAACAAGGTGAAATGAAAGCAACAACAAGAAAATAATGGGGAAAAAAACAAGAAGAAAAAAGGAACCATATATATATTAACACTATGTCATTGCTGCTGAATTTTGGCCATTGAAAAGCAATCCAAAGAAAGAGATTTTATTGCTGTTCCAGAACTATACAAGCTGAAGCTATTGTCTCCTGCCAGAGGAAGGGATATCATAATTGTAAGCCAGCTACTGAGAATGCAGTCAAAATGCCCTTGTGCAATCAAAATGCCCTTCCTGCTTAAACTTGGCACAAGTGATCGCATAGGAAAGTTATCTTACATTAAAGCATGTCCAGTTCAATTGGGTTTTGTTCTTTTCCTCTCAGCAGTGAAGAGTCGGCTTATGTATTGTATGTTCTAGCATCTTTCTGCCAAAACAGTTAAGGCAGTTTACAGTTATAAAACAATAATTTAAACTTCTATGTCTATATATTTTCAAGTAACTTGTAGACATTATGACCCCATGAATTTCATAGGCTTTTCTTAAGCCAGGAATTATTTTCAAGAAATTATTTGCAACTATTTCTGGTTAATCCTAGTCCTGAAGAGTTTCCCTGCATAGCCTTTTCAAAACTGCTGCTTGGGTTCATGAGTGATGGTAGTGTGGAATTAGGGTTGCCATGTTAGTATTATCTCAGGTTCATTTCTGATTTCGGGACCAAAATATGAGATGTAGGGAGAGCCTCTGGTGGTATCACAGAGGTAGCCGCTTGTGATGTCACAAGGAGTGGCCTATTGTAATGTCACAGAGGTCACAATGACCTCTGGTAATGTCATTAAGCATAATATATTAAGTAGAAACCACAGTTTCCCAGTGTTTGAGGAAAGGGATCTAGGAGTCATAGTAGACCACAAGGTAAACATGAGATATCAGTGTGATGTGGCAGCTAAAATGCTAACATGATTCTGGGCTGCAACAACATGAGTACAGTATCTAGATCAAGGGAAGTAATAGTGCTACTGTATTCTGCTTTGCCAGACCTCACCTGGAATACTGTATCCAGTTCTCTGTTGTTGGACTTGCCTTTTTTTAAAAAATGATATAGAATCATGGAAGTGGAAGAGGCCATAAGGGCTATCTCTGTACTCATGTTGTTGCAGCACCATAATTCAAGAAGGCTATTAAGAAGCTGAAGTGTTTCCTTAGGAGGGTGACCAATATTGTGAAAGGTCTGAAAGCCATGCCCTATGAGGAGGGGCTTAGAGAGTTGGGTATGTTTAGTCACAAGAAGGGAAAGTTAAGGAGTGACATGATAACCATGTTTAAATATTTGAAGGAATGTCATATTGAGGATGGAGCAAAGTTATTTTCTGCTGCTACAGAGACTAGAACATGGTGCAATGGATTCAAACTACAGGAAAAGAAATTAGAAATAACTTCTTGATAATAAGAGCTGTTCAACAGTGGAACACACTCCCTTGGAGAATGGTGGAGTCTCCTTCTTTGGAGGTTTTAAGCAGAGGCTGATGGCCATCTGTTAGGGTTGCTTTGATTGTGAGTTCTTGCATGGCAGGGTGTTGGACTGGATGGCCCTTATGGCCTCTTCCACTCTCATGATTCTATATCATTTTTTTAAAAAAAAGGCAAGTCCAACAACAGAGACAATATTGTTTGCACACACACACTTTTCAAAGCAGTGCTCTTTTCCTAAGATTGCTGCTCCTTTGTCCTGAGGGCTGGAGTAGTGAATCCAGGCCCTGAGATCTGGGAATTCTATGTGTACTATAGGTCTTGATTTTGCTACTGCTGCTGCTGCCTTCAAGATGCTTCAAACTTGTGGCAACCCAAAGATGAACCTATCATGAGGTTTCTTGACAAGATTTATTCAGAGGAGGTTTGCCATTGCCTTCCCCTGAGGCTGAGAGAGTGTGCCTTGCCCAAGATCACCCAGTGGGTTTCATGGCTAAGCTGGGAATCGAGCCCTGACCTCCAGAGTCTTAGTCCAACACTCAAACCACTATGCCATGCTGGCTCTTGTAATATAGGTATAAATGCTTAGTTTAGAGAGAAATAAAATAAAATCTCTAAATTACTCATGTACACCATGTCAAGGTTCCACAGGGCCAGTGTCCAAGTGGAAAAAAGAATAAAGAAGAGAGTGTTCTGCTGCACATGTGGAATTTATTTCCATCATCAGTTGGAAATTACCACTGGGTCATACCCATCTTGGGATTAAGAAAGGTTTTTCAAAAGCAGCTGGTGTGAGATGAGGCAAACTGAAGACTGTATACTGCAGGTGTGTTTCTGTGTAGTTCTTTTATCTGAAATTGATGGGGATTAAGGGAATGCAGAAATTCATAGGAATGCAGACACAGAGTTACGATGGAAATGGAACTGAGTTCTTTTTTCTTTTCTTATTTACCGTACAGACAAATGGTGGAGAAACCATGCTCCTTAGAGGCACACAGAAGCAGATTGCTGTGAGTCAGAACCTCCAGGTTTCCTGCAGACTCTTGGCTCTAACTATTCTTGATAGCTTGTGTTTGAGGAAAGATATCTGGAATGAAAGAGTGGAGAAGGGACAGAGAAGGTGGGGGCAAGAGGGAATGCTGTTCCATGAAACATTCATATAATTTTGCACTTCATAAATCCTGGTATTTTTAAAAAAGGCAGGAAAATCAGAGAAACAAAGACGCCTTGAGGATCTAGTAGCAATCTCAGATGTGTTGCCAAATAACCCAAGGAAAAGGAAAGAAAGGGGAAAGTGTCAGAGACGCTGGCATTGGAATGAAATAAGGCCATCAGGGGAATCTTTCTGACTTGGTCTTTGGTGAGAGGCTCCGCTTCGTATGCCAGAATCAACTCTGGATTTGTTGTCAGAACACAGGCACAGTATGCTCAGCCAAGAGCTTGTGGCTGTGGAAGTCATGTTGGCTGAGTCTTAAAGAGGCCATAAGGTACACAACAGAAGAAGGTGGAGGATGCTTTAAAAAGGGATGCCTTGTATGTTGCCCACACAGTAAGAACCAAGCTCTTTGACTCTGAAGGTGTGACTGACACAATGATTTGTTACAACTTAAAGTCTGCCTCCTTTAAAAGAGAAAGGACAGAAGAAAAGATTCATTTACAACTGGGAACAAATACAAAGGAGAGTTTTAATGTGCTGGAAATCTAGCACTTCCTCTAATGCTTTAGAAGCCAAGTGGGAGACTTATCTGCCTCTGAAAAGGTGGCAACAATTTCCCTTTTATACAATGTTTGACTCAGAAAATAGGAAGAAATCTGCTCTTTTTATTTTCATACTTGAAGGTCTTTTGGCGTAGTGGTTAAAAGAGTTAGTAGGGAAATATTTTCTTTGTAGTGGTTCTTATTGAGGTTTGTAGAGACGGATTACCATACTTTATTAAATGTGGTGGTTTTGTACATCATGTACTTTATAAATATTTTTTAAAGTGTTATAATTTGAAAATGAGCAGCCATCTGAAAGAACTTCATTTCCTCCTATATGAACCTGCCCAAGATATAGACTTACCATCTGAGCTCTGCTATATTCTTTGCCTACAAAAGGGGTGAGGATGAAGGGTACACAAGGCAAACCCTTAATGTAGAAGTATCTTTGTTGTTAAAAGTTACTAACCCCTCAGTGATTCTCACTCTTGTTCTTCTTGTGTTTTGGACTTCAGCTCCCAGAATCCCTCACCATTGGCCATGTTGGGTGGAGCCAAAACATTTTGAGGACCAAAGGCTGATAATCACTACTTCAGACAGCTGGTGAAAACAACATTGTTCTGTTGAGCTTTTAATAGTTAATTAATTCTGCTTTAATTATTATCTTGCACAAAAAGGAGCTCAGATTTGTTCAGCTCCCAGTTGCTCAACACTATTCAGAGCCACTGTTGGTTCATCAGGTTGACTTGACACCTTGAACACACCCCAGCTTGTCTAGAGTTAAGAAGAGTGTTACAGTCTGTTAGCCTATTATAGCTGCACAATGACCTATGAGAGCAGTTGTTGTCCATGTATTGAACATATGTCTCAAAACAAATGTTTGTGATTAGGTTTCCAAGATCTGAAGGCCAAGGAAACCTTGGGGTTGAAATTGGATGTATTTATCAATGTTTTTATTGTTGTAAGCCACCCCGATTGCATTGTAGAGAGGTGGGATAGAAATAAAATTTATTATTATTATTATTATTATTATTATTATTAAGGCTGAGTCTTAGGGCCTAGATCCTTTTCTCTATTCCTCAGGGTGAAGGTGGTGAATCTCAGTGAAAAAGTTCTCCCTTAAAAAGTATGTGTTTGTGTTTGTGTTTGTGTTTGTGTGTGTATACTTTACTTTGAGACTTCATGATTTTATGTGAACAGCATTTTCTATTCAACTGTGGCTGGCACTTAATGACATCACTAGGGCTGCCCTTGTGACATCACCCATACCCACCCCCTGTGACACCACAGAGAGTCATTCCTAAGTCTCAGGTTTTGGCCCTGAAATCTCAGGGCCTGAGATCTTCTTGACCTGGCAACCCTATTTGTGATTTTCCTAGTTTTTAGTACATTTTGTGGATATGATGACTCAGCGGTTGCAAGATCGGCAGGTCGAAAGTTCAAGGCCCAAGTGCCACATGATGAAGTGAGCTCCTGTCACTAGTCCCAGCTTCTGCCAACCTAGCAGTTGTAAAGCATGTAAAAGTAGATAAATAGGTACCACTTTGGTGGGAAGGTAAAAGCATTCTGTGCAGTCATGCTGGCCACATGATCACAAAGTTGTCTTTGACAATGCTGGCTCTTCAGCTTAGTAATGGAGATGAGCACTGTTCCCTACAGTCAGATACAACTTGACAATCTTGTCAAGGGAAAACCTTTACCTTTATCTTTTTGAGGTGGGGATGGGCAGCTTCTGAGTGTGGAGCTGATAACACTGAAGTCCCTGAACACACCAGAGACTGCATTGTCCAAATTTCCAGGCATGCTGCCAACAATAAAAGCTTATACTTTCATTCTAAAGCAAGATGCACAGGGGGTACACTTTGTTTCCAAACTGCACTTCCAGTTGAGAAGCTATGGCTAGAATTCTATTGGTGTCTTGTGCATTTGTAATTCCCCCTGTCAAAATGGTTGGATATTTTTGCAGAACAGTGGCATCCAGTTGTGCCACACTGGCATTTTACAGGAAAGTTGAATTGCACAATAAATATGTAATTCCATATGCAGGGATTTTCCAATAAGCAACCCCAATGCAAGCTCTTGGCCAAGGAATCCACTCTCAAAGTACTTTATTTTCAAGCAAATTATAGCAACAGCAATAGCAAGTACATTTATAAACTGCTTATCAGTGCACTTAAGCACTCCCTAAGTGGTTTACAATGTGTAAGTCAATTGCCCCCAACAAGCTGGGTATTTCAGCAACCTTCGAAGGATGCAAGCCTGAGTCGAGCTTGAGCCCTTGGCTGGTATTGAACTTGCAACCTTGCGGTCTGTGAGTAAGTGGATGAAGTACAGGCATTTAACCACTGCACCACCAGGGCTCCTGGTGTAATTTGTAACTTTAGGAGTCAGCGATGTACCCCTACAGTTGGCCTTGGTGGTAAACTGGGGGATATTGGGGGCCACAAGAACAAGCTGGAGGGTGCATGAAGCTCATGAGCTTCCCATTCCTACTCTGAGAGGTCTACTAATGAGTGGATTGACCACTTTCTAGCTGGTGACTCCACTGCAGCAAAACAGTCTTGTTGACCATTTGTATTGCCCTAGCAAAAGCCAAGCCATATTTCTCAGTGTACCAGGAGATAATGCAAGGGCACTGTTTAATTAAATACAGATATGTTATTAATCAGCAATACACTAGACCAGTGCAGGTATCACCATGATTGAGTCTACTTTTTTTTAAACAAAAACTGTTGATTTGGCCATGCAAAAAAGGAAGCAATAAAGTAAGTTTTAAGACGCTGATAAACATAAAAATAACAATCATAGCTTTGAGACAGGTGTGATTTTTTCTGCTTAGCTAATGATCTATCTATCTAATTAATTTTATATAGGTTAATGTACCTTTGTGTGTGCATGCCTTCAAGTCACCCATTTACTTATGGTGGCCCTATGAATTTCATAGGGTTTTGTTAGACCAGGAAAACATAGAGATGATTTTGCTAGTTCCCTCTTCTGAAATAGAGGCTACAGCACCTGGTATTCATTGGCAGTCTCCCTTTCAAGTACTAACCAGGACTGACCCTGTTTAGCTTCCAAGATCATATGGTATCTTTAAGGTATTCAGGCTAGCTTACCTAAAACAAAAACATGAAAACTAGCTAAATACATTAGCAACCAAGGCAATAATCTTATACTGGAAATCTCTTACTCAGCTTCGTCCTAGAACATTGATCCAACAATTTAAGTGAATAAGCTGGCCTCAGATACACATTAATAATATACTAAAATATTTCTGAAACTATACCAGCAGTGTTCTTGGAAACATACACATTTGAAGCCAAAAAATGCATAATTCATAAAAATTGTACCAGAGTCACTATTTTTTCTGGTAGACAGTGATCAAAAAGTATCTGAACACATTTTCTTTTAAAATTCTTTTTTAAAAAATAGACCATATCCTGTGCCTAGGAGATGAAAAGATTCAAACCCATGCATTAAACTTGGGTCTGATTTGCCTGTATAGGGGCTAGTTTTCACATAAATGTATTATGCAATTTGCTGCGGATTTCCACATTCACTTAGATGGTTCGTTGTTTTCACTTTCCTGCACAAATTTGCATCTATTTGCAGCCATCCACTCTCCTTTGCTGAAAAAGTGCAGCCAAACAAATCTATGCAAAGCATACAGATGGCCAAAAGTGCAATAATGTGCATTTCCAGATACACTGGTAAAAACCACAAAACCTTTTTCCATGGTGTTTAAGGAGTCCCCCCCCCCAAAAAAAGCCCAAACTCCTACAAATCGTGTGTGGCTGGATCACATTCTATTCAACTGGAATGAGGAGTAATTTAATCATATAGACAATCCGTAGGTTATAGGTC